ACGTTAAGGGACTCATCAATGTTTTATTATTATTTGTAAAATGGTTCTGATGATTCTTCAAAGCTCTTCGTGATAGCATTATTTTTCATTAACATAGTCATGGCACAGCCATTATTTTTAATTCATGTACCTGTATATGTTTGGTGAATTATATAATTTTTCTATGTCTCTTACTTTTGGTACTAGTGGATTGACATACGTTTTATTAGTACAGGTTAAATGATATCTTAAAATTATGGTATTAGTTGATTTATGTTGATTAGTGAATAATTAGACATTGATCCATACCTAACATTTTTAAAGGTGGCGTTTGCCAAAAAGATGCAAACAACTATGTAAACACTATCGAAAGGGTCGATAACCGTTCCTTTTTAAATTCCTTCCACGATCCATTCGTAAAATTTTCTCAAATATGCAGAGGTTTTCGAAAAAGATGCAAGCCACGATGTAAACACAACTCGAACGATAACCCTTCTCTAGTTAAATGTCCTGTTTGCGTATATACAGGATAATACGTGGACTAGACACCATGGAGAGGTATCTCAAGCATCTTAATATCACAAAATTGATCGAATCTGGATGAACGTTGAATGATGCCTAATTATTTTCAATTTACCATTTCCGACATATAGTATTCTAATTGAAAAATTAGAATTCATAGGTGTAACCCTGATTTGATAATCAGATTGAATATTCGCACGAGCACGAGTAGAATTTATGTTAGAAAAAACATTTCGAACAAACGCTATAAGCACTGTTTACATATCCTTAAAAAATCACGTTTTACATACAATCACGTATAAAATTGATCCAGTATCATCCATCATGCGTTCAGTAAATTGGTATCGACAGACCAAAACGATTTACGTCTTTGATAAGTAAGTTCATCTTCTAGCCATTCACGAACCATTCGCAGCTAACAAACTCAATTACTTCAACTCGTGGTTCATTTAATAAATTACACTACATGGACGGGGGTATGAGTCAATGGACGAAATATCTTACGCGTTAATTACTATTGCATCATTCGGTCGGACGACCTGCGTCGCTGCTAATGCGGTGCAGTTTAGACATTGTAAGAGGAATTACTAAAGCGATGATTCCGACCACCTGTTGCGTTTTTGATTCAAGAAGATTTTTATAGTGAACCTTCTACTTCGCCAGAGAGCCAGAATTTTTCCTGAAAGGGTAAACGAAAATGGGAAACCACAAACCTCGGAAAGGCAAGGCAAATATGATCAAGGTATTATAATGGTAGTATACATAAATAATATGAAACGAGTTGAAATAATAAAATTGCGAAAATAGAGCAAAAAATAAAAGAATTGTCATGGGAGAACTATGCTATGTTAAAATTACAATATTAATATATTATTTTATATCGAATCTTTATAGTATATTAACATAAAATTATTTTATTTTTGCTCCATTTTCGTAATTTCATTATTTCACCTATTTCAATTGATATAAAATTAATATATTATATTATTCAATATTATTTTATGTTGAATCTTCATAATATATTAACATAAAATTATTTTATTTTTGCTCCATTTTCGTAATTTCATTATTTCACCTATATTTCAATTGATATAAAATTAATATATTATATTAGTTAATGTTACTTCATATTAAATCTTTAGAATATATTAATATAGAATTAATAAATTATAATGATCTAACAATCTATTCGAATCAAAATACCCAAATGTAGATGGCTACTCCTGATAAATTAAAAAACGATACCCTCTCGTAAGGAAGAGAAAAATACTGACTTGATCGATCGAAAAGATTTAATTACCTGACAAATGTAAATCTCGACGTTCGCTGTATTCCACCTTGCAGATTCCTTCAAAGATTTCCCCATTGATACGAAGAAGTGACCGAGTCCTGAATTTGTATCGCGATCAACCGATCTCCGAACGATTCTCCGTTCCATAGAAATCGTGGGAAAAGCGACGCCGCGCGTGGTTTCCATAGTACTCGAGCGCGAGAGCCCGTGCACGAAATTTTCGATTTTAATCTTCTTTCGGATCGAGACCCGTGAAAACGCTGAATGCCGAACAGAGAGGCACAAAAGCGTTTCGACGATGTCGTTCGACCACAAAACAGGCGCAGCCACCTCGATATAAGTAGCCTTATATCGATACACGGTCGACGAGGCGTGTTTAACCGCGAAGGGGTTAATAATCGCTTTGCAACACGTGCCCCTTTCAGCAGCGAAAGCGTCGCGAAGTACCCTTCATCTTCGTCTTCAGCGTCGTGCACTTTCGTTGTCAACGTGCTCCCGTCTCAACGATCGATCCTCTCCGTAATTAACGCTCCCAAACTCACCCCCTCCCGTGCCCATTAATTACACTCTTTGGCGACGAGGGCCTCGGATGGAAGTCTGATTAGAAATTGAAGTCTGGAGAGGTTAGCCTGTTGGGCACGTTCGAGCCACTCAGGGTGCTTTTTGGAGGGCACTTTCGAGCACTCGATCGCAGGGGGTATTTTTTGTAGCGTTTATCGATGATGAGCAATGGTGTGATGATGGTCGAGTGTATGATCATTGTTACTTGGCGTCTTGCCAAGTACTTTATGGATCTTGCCGAAATTGGGTTAATTAAGAGTGCTTCGCTATAAATTGATGAATTATAACATTTTTCTTGGGGTTGATGAAATGTTTCACAAGTAATTTAGGTTATTTGGGAGTTGGTAAATGTAAATGAAGTGGAGAATAAAAATATGAAGGCGAATTTTAATGAGTGCTTTCATTGCTGTGGATTAAGATCAAATATGTGTTACAGTTGAAGGAATATCTGCAGTGCAATATAAACAAAAATATTGCTAAGGAATGTATATCATGTTCTATGTATAAAGAAATACATGTTATGGTACAATTAAAAAACAATGTGTAGTATAATTAGAGAAATGTATGTAGTATAGATTAAATAAAACGTAGTACGATTGGAATATAGTACGTGTTACAATTAAAATAAAGTATTGTACTCAATACAATTAAAGAAACATCTGCAGTACAATTTATACAAAAATATTGCTAAGGGATGTATATCATGTTCTATGTATAAAGAAATACATGTGTGCAATTAAAAGACAATACGTACTATAATTAGAGAACCTGTATATAGTGCAGTTTAAATAAAATGTAGCACGATTATAGTACTAGAAATATAGTATGTAGTACAATTAAAATAAAGTATTGTACTAAATACAATTACAGGAATAACTGCAACGCAATATACACAACAAGTTTGGTGTAATTTATAAAAAAATATTACTGAAAAATGCATATACCACTATATAAAGAGATACATATGACACAATTAAGAAGCAACAAGCAGTATAATCAAGGAAAAATATCTGCTACGATTAAAAACAAGGTATTGAGATATAAAAATATGTCCTACATCTAAAATAAAATACCCCGTGCAATCGCAAAGTAAAATACGTAAAATTTAATCAATTCCGAAGTCTTAGCAAATCCAACAACATAAAACAAACGGAAAGTTAAGTTTCGTATTCGATGGAACGCAGAACGTCACATTGCAATCTCCGCGATCTCTCCTACCATAATTTCCATCAACTCGTCCCGTTCGCTTTAGTTATTTAGTTAACGCGATATCTAATATAGCTCCGTCACGATTATTTTGCATCCGTTATCAACAATCTGGCGTTAATTCCCTCGTCCAGTTTATAAATTTCCTGCCACGCATTCAAGCTCGTCTTTAGTCCCGTTACGACACGATAGCTTCGAGTTGGAAGTCTCCCGGTACGACTTACGCGAAAGTGTGCGCGCACACGAGCGTCAGTACATAAGTCGGTAATCCAATCACAAATAGGCTTATAAGCTACTCCGATAGTCGGTGCGCGGTGTAAGTGTGCACGAGAGTAATGTCGGGGTTAACGCATCGGCGTAGCCAGCCACAAATAATAGGATTCGACTAATCACTTGTAGTAAAGACTCGCGAAGAGGATTACAGCAATCGGGTGAATCCCCGTAGCTGTAAAATAAAAAACGATCCGACGTATCGCTGACGCAAAGCCGAACAATTGGAAGATTGATTGCGCTTGTGTTTACGTGTCGAGGTGGTGGTTCCGGGGAAATTTTTGAGTTTTATCGTACCGGTCGATTTTCGCATACTGGAAAATGATTCTTTATGTATTATGTTTGAGCTCATGGAAGATTTTGGGGAAAGTGGTATTTAATCTTGAATGTTTCTTGATGTTTGATAGGGAGGATTTAGGCGAGAGCTTTAGTTCGAGTTTTAAATTTATTGGTTTACAATTTTAGATACTAGCTTGATTTTTGTATGTGTTCTTCGTGTATTTGAGTTCGTGGTACAGTTTAGAGAAAGTTTTTAATTATGAATGTTTTTTGATCTTTGATAGAGAACCCTTACAATTAGATGAGGGCTTTAATTCAAGTTTAAAATTTATTGGCTTACGATTTTACATACTAGCTTGATTTTTGTATGTGTTCTTCGTGTGTTTGAGTTCGTGGTACAGTTTAGAGAAAGTTTTTAATTATGAATGTTTTTTTGATGTTTGATAGAGAACCCTTACAATTAGACGAGGGCTTTAATTCAAGTTTAAAATTGATTATTATATGATTTTAGATACTAGTTTGATTTTTGTATATACACTGCAGCGTTTGCCATGTCCTTTTTAAATATTTCTTACTGTATCTGAAAAAATTGTAATTTTGAGAACGCAGATCATTCTACGAAATGTCATAAAATTGTACCGTGGATTTTTGAATTTTGTTAATATTCTCAATTTTTACTCGTAAAAGATTCTTGGTGTACCAGCACAGGTTTGGAAAATGCACTTGATTCTTAATTATAAATGAAGTTCTTTGATGTTTAATAGGAAAGCCTTAAATAAACTATTTTATAATTTTATAAGATTCTTACTCTAGCTACTCACTTGATTTTTGTATATATATATTACAGAATCTTTTATTAAATACTAAATTTCTATTTCTTACTCCATTTCAGAAAACAAGAAGCAAATAGTAAAATAAACATCCCAGATATAAATGATTACTAAATAAAATAAATAAATTTCGAAGCCCTCAAAAGTAGTAGCAACGAAAATACGACATAATTTTCAGCTTAAACCAAGCGAACATTTCTACAAAATTTTCTTTCATTATTGTCAGTAATAGAAAAATCGAGAACACAATTGGACGAGTGTTTGGACCAATTGTGAATGCTAAAACGAACTCCGCTCGTCGAAATAACATTCACGCGGCGAGCTATATTTCACCTAACGACGCCTTCCTGACGGAATTAATTAGAGCGTTCCACGCTGCGTGGAAAAACGAAAAACAACAACAAACAAAAAAAAAAAAAACACCGGGGATAGACCAAAACGAAAGGAGGAAGAAACAATTGGAATTCCTGGCTGAAGCGGGACGTTAAAGCGTACGCAGGGGGGCTTTTTAGTCGCAGCACACGACGAGACAAAGCAGGAGCCATCGGGAGAGGACTGATTAATGAGAGACGTGCGTGCGGGGAACGTTGACAATTATGCGACTCGCGATACACACGCTGCCCACGCGTCGACTTCGTTCTCAATGGAGGCGCGTGTTATTTTCCTGGGAGAAAATAATCGTGAGATTCGCGTACTAGACGTCCTGTGATGGTCTTTCATTCATTCACAAATGCGCTGACCACGCCATTCTTACAGAAATGAATGATCTCGCAAGAAGCATGTGATTAGAAAACAGCCTATCTGATTCAAATTCTGAATAAAAAGAATCTTTCTGTGATTAGGTACATATGAAAAAATGAAAATTGTATTTGTATTCCTAATCAAGACAAGCATTTTTGTACATATTAGTGATTTCTTTTTATGATTATTATTATTGTTATTTTTTTGTTTATTTTTATGCGAATATGTAAGCACAAGATCCAAAATATATGATACTATTAGATACATATGTATATGCTCTACAGTTGACTTTTGTAGGAAGAGACGTTTAAATTCGTTATTTTATATGTATATCTCATTTCTTATAAATATTAAATGGATATACAGTTTGTTTAATATTTACCAGAATATCAAACTGTACAAAAGTCATTTATAATTATTTTTACGTTTAAGCACTAACAATTACAGGAAGTGTATATTCTTATTGCAGGATTTTTCATCATTCTTTTCCCTTCTTTTATTTTTCGTATCTCGAATTTTGAACTGAAAAATCAGAAAAAATTCTGAAACATGCGTCGAAATAACTGCAATGTCTCTGATTTTTCTCAAAATTTTTCATGGGATAGGACGAGAGAAATCGATTAATAAATAAAATCGATTGTTTAAGGACTCGAAACTTGGCGAAGAATAGTCTTTTTCGATAACCCATGGAATGCACCATCGCAAATTATCCTCACCTTCGGGAATTAACTCGAATCGCTGTCGAACGATGTCACAGTCACGTCGAATGTTTAATTCACATCAAACCACCATCAGTATTCAATCGTGTCCGAAGTTCATTTTCATAACGTTTGCCCGACGCAAACATCGAGCAAACATCCACTCGCAATCTATGAAACAGGATCAAGTCAGACTCGGGACAATATAGTCCTCGGAATGATGCCAGACAGGGAATAATTTAAATACACGAAGGGATGTTCGGTTAGGACTCGAAGCTGGTTGCACCTTCTGTTCGTGGAAGGAGGGATAGGGATGAGAATCCGAGATTATACGGAATAAAGGGGATGCTATCATCGAGAATTTCGGCCGTCGGAATGAACGGAGTTCACGAGAATTTACATAATTCAATTCTCATCCGACGGAAGCTCGAATTGACGATCTTATCGGGGCAGTTCCTCGGCTGAGGCTGTCGCCTTAAAGTGGCTAGCCAAGTATTATCTATTCGTCTCAGGCGCGACCGAGTCTCGTGAAAATCTTCCTGCTGAAGATTATGGTTTTCAATTAAACGAGAACCGATTACCACGAAATTCATAACTAATTTCGTTGGTACAGATATCGCCGTTATTATCTCCTCTTCGAGTTGTGAAAGTAGTACTTAATTTTATTTCAGCGAGTATTAGTTATTAATTAAGATATAGATAACTTGCCTGATTCATTTGCAGGTATCAGTGTTTTGGATTATCTCTGTTTCGTTTGAACTTTTTTTTTTTGCTTAACTTGGAGTGGTTAAAATGTTTTTATAAAAGTCATTTGGTATAAGCGAAGTAGCAAGGGAAAAACAAATTAATTTGTTAAAAGGGAGCCTTATATATTTTTATTCATAAAAATTCCATTATAATTGTACATTCTCAAACTCCAATTTAAGGCTTTATATTATAATAAATAATGATGTATTATAGGTCCATGAATTCGTCTAAACAAATGCTGTTATATTATCGATAAAAATATATAGTCCTGCTTGAAAAAATTAATTTGTTTCTCAAATCTACCTCACTACTTTCCTTACAACAAAATTATTTATTACTAGACTGCGGACCTTTATGCAAAATAAAATTTTCGTCAACGTGCCTGCAAAAATTGAACCCAAATAGGAATTTATTTTATTCTACAAATGTTATAACATGAACTTTACTTTCAATCACTTTTATATTCTTGTATATTGTTTGTATTTTGTAGGTTCTTGCACATTCAAATTTTCTATAAATGCATAAAGATCCCCAGTCTATTTATTACACACAATTTGCCCCTTTGTACGAAATAATTTTTATAAAAAAATTTGTTCGATAGGTTCATCCTGAATCATCATCTAAATATTATTCAACCATTTCGATTTAAACGAACCACCCTTTATTCCAGGCTTAAAATAAAAAAAAAGTGACCGAAACAACTCATCTTTTGAATAAATCGATTCCTTTATCTACCGTTTCGCAAATAAAAATTTTCATTATCTTTAAATCATTAACAAAAATCTTTCTCTTCTTTAACAAGTGAAACACTCAGGATGGAATAATTAACCGAAGACACAGCGCTCAGGTGCAACGGTAGACTATGCACAACGTTGTACCTCGCGATTTTGGTATCACGAACGTAGGATGGAAACATTACGGGCAAGGTGTTGTCAGGATATCGCGGGTAATATATCTCACGCAAGATAAAGTGCATACTTCCACGGGTATATCTACATCGCGATAGCGCCCGTACTCTAAACTTACATAGATTTTATCGCCGGGTAGGAATTAATCTAGAAACTCGCGAAAATAGTCGAATCCAATGAAAAATCGAACACTCGAAACACTCACAAATGGTATTACTTTTGCAAGATAATTTATATTTATAATTTGTAAATGACACAAACGTTTTCGACTTGTATAAACTACTGTTTATGTATATTTACCACGGACCAAACTGGGGTAGTATAAGAACGCCTAGTAAACAAAATGAAATATCTTAAAACCAAAGGATACTTCCCTGCTATCTAAATAAAATTGACCAATTAAAGTTTTAACAAAAATATTCATTACTACTTAATAATTACGTAGTAATACAATCGAATAATACTGCAATAATAATACTGCAATAAAAGTTTCAACCAAAATATTCAATACTATTCAATACTATTTAATAGTTTGTTAGTTAGTTATAGTTTATTCTCTTTGCGGAGTACAAGCGGACCTCCGCTCCGCTTACATTTCTTCCTCTTAACACTACCTATACAAGTAACCCTTAATTTCTACCTTACATCTAACTTTTCACTCCAATCACACCTGCGAGAGAGAGAGAGAGAGAGAGAGAGAGAGAGAGAGAGAGAGAGAGAGAGAGAGAGAGAGAGAGAGAGAGAGC